CAAACAAACAAACAAACAAACCTATCAAGCTACATTTTATCTTGTGACCATTGTCGTTTGTAATCCAATTTCATTCGTTTATCTTTGACGCACAAAGTTAGATTTTGGCCTCGTTGTTGGAAAAGTTATTTTAAAATGTCGTTAATGTAAACCCTCTTTTCTGTAGGGGTTAAAATTAACATAACTCTTTGTAGGTGTATAAATACGGCTATAGGGTTTATGGTCGGTTACACACACTGAGACTGATTTTATTTTTGTTATTTAGTCTAATTGAAAATGTAACTGTTTTAGGTCTTCTTGGGGCTAAGCAAGCAGGAATTGCATCTAGCTGTTTCTAGTTCACCAACAGCAGAACCCGAGAGTTGGTTCCTTTCTACTAATAAGGTGAGTAGAAGAACAAAACGTAAACAAAGTGAAATAATTCATGTATCAAATTGCTTTTTGTTTCTAAGAAATAGAGTAACTTTGTTTATTTCTTTTGAATTTCGTGCTAAGCTACATAAGGACTATCTGTGCTAGTCGTCCCTAATTTAGCAGTGTAAGACCAAAGGAGAGGTAACTAGTTAACACTACCCATCGCTAACTTTTGTTTTTTTTACAAACGAATATTGGAATTGACCATTATATGATATTACTCCCACGGTTGAAAAGGCTAGTATTTTTGCAGACGGGATTCAAATTCAGGCCTAATAAAGAGTTAAGCTAGAATTTTCACGATAGAAAATTATTAGGAACTCCCGACCAAACTAGATGTATTTTCGAAAGATCCCCGAAAGTGTTCTGTTTCAAGAGTAAATAAAATCAAAATTAAAAGTAATAAATAATTTTATTTCTTGCTTTTGAAGTTCACGTGTTATGCTGTGTGGTAGCTTGCAGAGTGCATAATTCTTCTCGTGATTCATGGCATGCGCATGATTTACTAAATTAACGAAAGTACAACTTACAGCATTAAGTGTCTTTATGTGACGTCATTTTATAGTCTAGTGACTGACTGACATACAAAACACTACTATATAGTGGTGCGAGTGGTTAAACCAGATGGCTCCTCCAGGCGGCCTTCGGCTCCATTTCAGGGAAATTAACGAAAACTATAATTATTTCGCAATATGTCTTAGTCATACCAAGGCAAATTTAAATACTGTTTTATTAACATAAATACATGGCTAATACTTATTGATATTCGATGAACAGAAGCAATTTCTGTGTCGTTCTCTGTCAACCGTACAAATCGAATCTAGAATATTTATAAGTCCCCAGGTTTACCGATGAGCCACGGAGGGATCTCGAGGGGGAAAAAAAACTATATAATACAGCTAAGTTTAAAGTGTGACTTACTGCATCAAGTTTGATATTTCTGAAAATCAAACAATTATATTTGGTGAAGTGTTTCGTGAATCCTGCTACTCCGACTACGAGCGTGGCAATTTTATCTCGATATCTTTAAACTTCCAGAAATAAATAAATTACAACCTCTTTTACTTTTTTTTTTTACTCGCGCTATTACTTATTTTGTACTGTTAATAAAACGCCAGCTTTTGTTTTGTGATCGATTGAGGAGTTCATTCACTGCAAAACAAGTTGAAGGAACTTTATATCAGGCTTAAAGGAAAGAAAAACTCACTTTGGAGTTAGACCCTATTCAATCACTGCAAAACAAGTTGAAAGAAACTTTATATCACATTAAGAGGGAAAACTTACTTTGGAGTTACACCCTATTCATTTACTGCAAAACAAGATAAAGGAAACTTTATATCAGATTTAAAGAAATAAAAACTCACTGTGGAGTTAGACCCTATTCACTCACTGCAAAACAAGTTGAAAGAAACTTTATATCAGATTTAAAGAAAGAAAAATTCACTTTGGAGTTAGACCCTATTCACTCACTGCAAAACAAGTTGGAGGAAACTTTATATCAGATTTAAAAAGAAACTTACTCACTGCAAAACAAGTTGGAGGAAACTTTACATCAGATTTAAAGAACTAAAAACTCACTTTGGAGTTAGACCCTATTCACTCACTGCAAAACAAGTTGGAGGAAACTTTATATCAAATTTAAAGGGAAAAACTTACTTTGGAGGTAGACCCTATTCATTCACTGCAAAAAAAGTTGGAGGAAACTTTATATCAGATTTAAAGGGAAAAACTTACTTTGGAGTTAGACCCAATTCAAAGAGACTGTACATACGTGTGTTAGTGCAGATTTACTGAGTTTGAAGGTAATTACCATGACTGGTTGCCAGTGATAGATAGTTTTTTTTTGTTTACCTATAACACTCACCTTTAGAGAGCACAGTAAGCCTATTTCGTGTAGCTTTGTTCCTAGCAACCAACACATAATCTTACTTTCCTGATAATCTTTATGAAGAAACTGTACATTTAACAAACACGCAGAAGACATTGAAACTTATAAACTTTTTTATTGATGTAAAGATAGTAACAGTTAGAACGATTTTGAATCTGTCTTTCAGTTCATATTATATCTAATGTATGATTGGTATACCTTATCTTTAGTTGTTTAGATTACCTCTTAAGTGTTCATTTGGTTTATAATATGTATAGAAACAGATTATACAGTGTTTAACTAGACTTTGGTCATGAACGTTTTATTAATATCGTACAAGTTTATGCAAATTTCTATAAAAACTACCTGGTGTTTGAATAAAGAGAGATGTTTAACTTTCTAATATAACTGACAAAAAATAAACGAATATTTATACATTTGCTTTCAACCTGTCAGTAAGTATCTACACATCTGAAAATGTAAGTCGACCATCTCAATAACGTCATATATAAATATTCCAGTTATAACTCGGTAAAAAAAGAAACAAATCCGGATTATAAAAAATCTTGAGACGTGCGAAAAAAACAAAAAAACCCTGGAATTAATCGTATTTTCATAAGATCTAATGGCTGGACGATGGAAAGGCGAATGCACTAGATCACTTACAACACAATTATCCTCAGTGAATAGAGTGTTCATACAGTTTCAGTTACGTTGGAAAACAGCAGTTTATTCTTGTCCCAGGCATCCAAAATGATTAGAATGACTGTGAGGAGAATGTTCTACGTTAAACAGTCGCTACAAATACCATCAGAAGTTATTTTCATAGCATTGGCTACATTATCAGAGTAGTTAGACGGAAGCCATTCCTCCTCCCCCCCCCCCCAGACAATATTTTAAATCAACATCACTGGGGACTGCAGATGTTATGATAATTTCCTATCTTTCGGATACAGTAATTTTGTTTCCAACCAGCGCAGAATTTTCAGGATTCTTTACTACTAGACCAATCGAACTTTGAAATTTCTATTTATTATCATTCTTTTTAATGCTGCTAAATGTTTCAGTAACTGCTCGAGAATTGTTAATGAACAATCATTGGATAATTTTAGTTAAAACCTTTACAGAAATCCAATTTAAAATGATTTTTGTTTCGTAATCTACACAAACCGTATTTGTAATTTACATCGATAAATGTCTCGATTCGTTAGTTTGTTCTATTTTTATGTTGGTGCTAACAGACCAATCAGAGGAGAAGTGATACTTCAATCGGCTGGTCGGAATGGAGTCTCTGGGGGATATGCTCAAGGAGTTGCGACGGTGGCGTCACCTACCAAATTCGACAGTGTTTACAGAAAACGGGATGCCGTGGAGATTCGATACGTTATCGTATATGTAATATGCAGGTAAAATAAAAGATGTGTTTGAACTTTTAATACACTATGCCTTCGGGCAAACCAGGGCACGATCAATAGGTGACACAACAGCTTTAGAACCTTATATCTCACTTCAGAAATGTCTGTGCTAGAAAAGCGAAAATGCAGAATCGTCACTTTTAAGTCAAATATTTTGATGCTATCGTGAATCTTTAAGAAAGTGCTTTTATTATGTACACTTATTATAAAGAGACTCGTTCTATCTAATAGCAACGTATATGTTTGTTTAAGAATGGAAAACCAAAAACAAAGAAACGCCGCACAAACCAAGACCACAGACTTGTCCTTTCACAGTGTAGTTCGTGCCTTAGTTTTGATTTTTCAAAAACTTGTCTTAAACTATCATCAACGATGGGAATGTTAATCCTCCCTTTAACTTTAGATGCTAAAGTTAACATAAGGGTTATGTAATCGGTTGTGTACAAAACAATTCCACGTGTACAACTGTATGTGTGTGTGATATATTTGTTATTTATACATTTCTCGAGTGCATTACTATGTGAAAGGGTGAGATTCGTTGTTTATTTCCAGCCATGCAGGGACCGGTCTGACTTTCGAGCTATGCAGTGTAAGGCTTACAACAACAGACCCTACCGAGGACGGCTCTACAAATGGAGACCCTTCCACGATCCGGAAGATCCGTGCAGTTTAACATGCCAGGCGAAGAGCTTTTTATTTGTCGCAAAACTAGCCCATAAAGTTCAAGATGGCACTCGTTGCCGGAAGGGTTCACTCGATTTGTGTGTGGAAGGGGTGTGCATGGTAAATACTCTTATTAACTTTCCACCAGGGTTCTGTTACGTACGTGTGAAAAGGTGGTGGAAAATATAACATTTTCTTAAAAGATTTTCATCAGGATTAAGTAGATATAGGTTTGACTAATGCCTTTCGAGCTTCTCACCAGAGATCGATCGATGTATATATATTGATAGAAGCTTACCTACTACATTATATATACTCTGTGTCTAAATAATGTAGCAAGTAAGCGTGTCGCAAATGGTTCTCCTTTTGTCGTGAGGGGTTTGCTCAATATTTAAAGGCATAGAAGATGATTTATGTCAACAGATGTATCAACATGTAGATTGTTATGGATTTCGCGCAAAGCTACACGAAGGCTATCTGCGCTAGCCGTCCCTAATTTTGCAGTGTAAGACTAGAGAGAAGGCAGCTAGTCATCACCACCCACCGCCAACTCTTGGGCTACTCTTTTACCAACGAATGGTGGGATTGACCGTCACATTTTAATGCCTCCACGGCTGAAAGGGCGAGCATGTTTGGTGGGACGGAGGATTCGAACCTGCGACCCGCAGATTGCCAGTCGAGCGCCCTAACCACCTGGCCATGCCGGGCCTCAACATGTAGTGAAGCCTCACTGTGGTCCCCAAACAAGAAATTCTAGTATACTTACACTCCAGTCGATTATCGTACGTAAATAACTTTTTTTTCGGTTAAAGACAAACCTGATAAATCATCAAAAAAAAAAAACGCTCAAAAGTTGTTGATTTAGTTATCCATTCGTTCGCTATTTCGTTTCCTAGTTACTGCTAGGTTGTTAAAAAACGAGGAACGAAAACAAACCACACACCTGAAGTGACTTAAACCGTGTCAAACGCGCGTGGGCCCCGGCATGCCCAGGTGGTTAGGGCGCTTGACTCGCAATCTGAGGGTCGCGGGTTAGAATCCCCGTCCCACCAAACATGCTCGCCCTTTCAGCCGTGGGGGCGTTATAATGTGACGGTCAATCCCACTATTCATTGGTAAATGAGGGTTGACGGAGAGTGGTGATGGCTAGTTGCCTTCCCTCTAGTCTTTCACTCCTAAAGTAGGGACGGTTAGGGGTTAGCCCTCGTGTAGCTTTGCGCGAAATTCGACACAAACTAAACCAAACGCGCGTTATTCTTTACGTAAACTTGGAAGTAAAGCATAAAACTTTGTTTCCATACGATTGCGATCATGTAATGATTTATAGATATGAATTAAAATAAAACGAAGATTGAACGATTTCAAAAACTTTGAAGTTCACAACTTTTATTTAATAATGAAAGATAAAATACCTATAACAAACTGATATAATTTTGTAGTAATCTATGTATATAAACTTTTAATCGTTAATAAAGGAATACATTTTGGATACTTTTAACGCATGCAATCTGATTAGAGCATTATTGTAATTTGTTTTTCTTCTTCTTCTTTTTTTTTTGCTAGGTAAAAGTTTTTCCACCAATCATTTTTTAGGATAAGGAAATAGTCATATATATTGATCTTATTGAATATTCTTTGCATTTCAGTCCGTTGGATGTGATCTTCAGCTTGGTTCACTGAAGAAGATTGACGAATGTGGAATTTGTGGAGGAAATGGAACAACTTGTAAACATCCTGTTTATGAGTGGTCGGAAACTGACTTCTCACCTTGTTCTGTGACATGTGGTAGTGGTTAGTGTTAGTTGTATATTTACACGTGTTGGATGAGTTATAACAATGCTAGTTGTATATCTTATGTAACTTGTGTGGCTTAATCTAATAGTTAATGTGTTTTTTTATATTTAAACTTAGTGTCATACATATTTCACAGAGGTGAAAAGAAAAGGTCAGTTTCATTTTGCGATTTGAAACTATATTAATCAGTTTAATAAACTAATAATAATCTGATTGCTGAAAAGTATATTAATTAATTTAATAAACTAATAATAATCTGATTGCTGAAAATTATATTAATCAATTTAATAAACCAAGAATAATCTGATTGCTGAAAAGTATATTAATCAATTTAATAAATTAATAATAATCTGATTGCTGAAAAGTATATTAATCAATTTAATAAACTAAGAATAATCTGACTGCTGAATAGCTTTTGCTGCTTATCTTATAATTAAACTAATTATAATAACTCATAACCATCGACACTAATATTAACATGGTATAAGGCACGTTTAAGGAGAAGCAAAGTTTTTATGTACATCTACAATCGTATCCGCTTTTAGAAGAAATATCTGTTTAGTGTGTGATTGTACGGGTGTAAACGTTACAATAGGTACAAATATATAAACTCTAAGGTTAAAAGTGTAAAAAAATTACTATGTTTAAATAGTATTACGTTTTATTATGGAATAAGAAACAGAAATCAAATTAGAAATAGTATTTGTTTGTTAGTTGTTAATCACAAAGCTATAAAATGGGCTATCTGCGCTTATCTCACCTCGGGTATCGAAACTCGTAAAGTGATTATCCATAATTGTAATATTTTATTCAGGTTATCAGATGTCAAGACCCATTTGCAGGGATACAGAGACCCAGAAAGAATTTCCAGAAAGATTCTGCGACTTTGACACAAGACCCCGACCACAAATACGATTATGTAATACACAAGGTTGTCCCGCATTGTACGTACACGTATATACCTACTTACTGTCGAATGTTACTTTCATGTCTCAATCTTTAATAAATGACTGTTTCTTTAGCAAAACAGATATGAAACGCGGGCATTTTCAGAATAGTTTCTGGAAGTCTAGTGACAATAAAAGTAACTAACAAAATATTATATGTAGCCTTAAAGTATGGACATTTTTTAATAGTAACTCAGTACGTCAATGGATTTTTAGTTGATGAGTAGACAAGGTTAAGAAATATAATTTGTTCCTGAGCTTTAGTTTCTGTTGTTTTTTTTTAAACATCCTACAAAATGTGAACGGACATTCTCAAAAGATTCTTCTAGAACAAAATTGCTTTTTCGTGATGCATACCTACTATTTTTCCAGAATCAATGAATTGTCTGCGAGCAAAAGGTGGGTGGTCAAAATTTGATACCGAATAGCAGTACATCAATATATCCTCCGTTATAGATTCGCGATGCGCGTTTGGTTTAGAAATCCATTTCTTATTCCCAGGATCATTAAGAAACAATTTATGGGAATCTACGTAATGCGATGGAAGAAATATGCATAATGGAAAATCAATACAGTTAATAAGAGAGATTTTTTTTATTGACAAAACTTTTACTGTTACAATTATCGGTACATTCTTTTTCAGTTGGATTGCCGAGGACTGGAGTCCCTGCAGTGTCCCCTGTGGCGGCGGATTCCAATTCCGCAATGTACAATGTGTTCGAGATTCTTATAACAGAACAAATGTGCAGGTTAACCCTGGGTTTTGTTTTCCACCTAAGCCTATCGACCGGCAACCCTGTAACACTGGGATCTGTCCTCGTTGGTTTGAAGGTCCATGGTCTGATGTAAGTTTATGTTTTGATATGAGATTATACATATAGTTGTACACATTTAACTACAAAAACTTGATACTTATAAGATTATACATATATAGTGTTACACATCCAACTACAAAAACTGATACTTATAAGATTATACATATATAGTGGTACACATCCAACTACAAAAACTGATACTAATAAGATTATATACCACTGATTCGATAATGAAGAGCGTTAGCATCTTTGTCTGGGATCTAGTAATATTAGATGCTAAAAGTTTTACTTTATCGTTGATCGTTAATGATTTGTAACTCCAACATTCAAAATCTTTCAATAGATTAACCTTGCTTGGGGTTACTTTACTAACTTAATGAATCATATAAAGTGTAGATGACTTTTCTCCTGAATACAGAGTATATGTAGGCTTAGACAATCAGTTATAGGTTAAGCCCGCGTTTTCCAAACTTTTCTCATCCACCTCACCCCCCTTTGATAAACATTGTTTCTTGGTGCCATTTTTCTTATATCTCGTCACTTGACTGGTTATTTCGTACATTTAAAATGTTATATGTGTTTTAGTAATTACTTACTGTTTCCATTGATGAGAAACATTTCAAAACGCTTAAATTCGCATTATTGACTCCACCCTAATCGCTCGCGCCCCTCCAAGAAATCATTTGTGCCCCCATAGGGGGCGTGCCCTACATCTTGGGAAACGCTGGGTTAAGCTATGGTGCAATACAGTCGTGAAATTACAAGAAAAAAAATTATTTTCCGTAGAAATATTGTGTAAAGTTTTTTAATTTTAACCAAAATCATGCAGTATTAATTACAAATACTTAACCCTAAAACGATTTAAACTTATTTTTATGGTAGTGTGTGTTTGTTCAGATAAAATCACGGAATTCTCTTTCCTAGTGTTCAGTAACATGTGGGCAAGGTTACCAGCAGAGAGCTGTAGTTTGCCGGAACAGTGAGGGGCATTTAAGTTCAGAATGTAAACTAAACATCCGACCTGAATTAAGAAGAACTTGTGTGAGCCGACTGCCTTGTCCTGTTACTAAACATCCAGGTAATCTATGGGAACGTAAGTAAAATACTATTTATCACACAAATACATTAAACAGATAGATTACCTGTTTAAGCCTTTATCGTGTTATTGAAGATAATATTTCAAGACTTTCCAGAGATCAACTGGATTTTTTTAGTAGCTACTGAAACGTAAGTAATACTTAATTAATATATAAAAAAACCGATTCAATTAGCAATTTACATTATACTAGTATAGTCCTTGGAACGTACTATTACAGTGATAATAACTAATGGTGTAATTGACAGATTTATAGTATTGGAATAATAGTAACTATTATTACAATTTAACACGTTCTTTTGTATCTCGGAGCGAAGAAACTCAAGACCTTCCGCGCAGTCAGATTGGCGTTTCCATATCGTCACAAACCAATGAATCATCTCGACCGAAAACACAAACGAAGTAAGTTTACCACCAGGTGGTGTTATATTCATTTGACCAGTCGAAAGCAACAGCTAAACCTTAAACTGTTGATAATAAGTTTGAATTAAATGCTTCTTTTTATTAAGTAATGGTATATTCAAAATAATAAGACGTACAGTCAGTTGCGATGAGCTGATGTAATAACATTTCAATAAAATATCAGTCTATTTGTTCTATTATTATTGTTACATTTTAATTTATTTGTTGTAAAACTAATGAAATTATTATGTAATAATAATAGTAAAACGTCTATTCCTTAGCACTTATGATTTATTGATCTCATATATCAATAAAATATTTCCATCTCTTTCTAGGTTCAAGGTAGGCGAATGGGAACCTTGTAGCGCCACCTGTGGTGAAGGGACGAAACGACGATCTGTGGAATGTATAATGTATTTAGAATTTGCAAAAACTGCTTCTACACTACCTGATCACGAATGTCCAGGTTAAAACCCACGTTGATGTTTCACCTTGTTCATAAGTTATTGTTTTTTGTTGTTGGAAAACACATTTTTGCTTTAGACAACCAATTAAATAATACTAGGAAAACAAAGTATGAACAATGTTGTACAATAATCAATCAGTCTATGAACCCTATAAAAATATTTTTATTTCGGACAACAATACTCCAGTACAAGATTTATTCACATAATCTTCTAAAGGGTTGCTTAAGTTTGATTACATTTAATAATTGATAAACAGTAGCATTAGTTTTGTTGAATAATAAACGAACATGCGAAAATTAGTGTACTTATACAGTAGTATTTATACTTAGCTTAGATGGAACAAAGATGTTCGGGTATTATCACCCGATAAACAACTGTCTAATTTCGATCATACTTTCTTGTGGTTAGTGAAGTACATCGTTAATTTAATAAACAATTCGTCGTTAACGAGAAATAACCAGGAAAATACCTTGAAACGTTGTTTTTAGAGTCTACTGACTTTGTACCACTAATTACAAACGAGCATGGTTGAAAAATACGTGAGAACACGATTCTTTGAATAGTGTAAGCCTGATTGACGCAATTCAATTACCAAGATTGAAAAAATAAAAATCTTTCTAAAAGAGTAACGTTTTCATTTCTCATCCTTTGTTTCTGACTACCGCTTAAGAGAAAAACCTTAAAATAAAGAATACCACAAGTCAGTCTGATCCATTACAGGACCCCGTCCCCCCGGGAAAGAAGTTTGCTTCATTCAACCATGTGACAACTATCGGAAATCACCCGAGGGAGGGACGTCAATGAATCATCTTGAAGAATGGATTCAACAAAAAGCTGGTGGAGCAGAAAGAGGGCTAGGAGACAAATCGGAGCATGTGATCAAGTACTTTTGGAAGAGATTTGGAATGTCTTCTTGTAGCGCTTCCTGTTTGGGTGGTAAAGCTTAATATATCATGCTTTCCGGATCGTTTTTTTTTTCGTCTTGACACTAAATATACTTTAAGCTTCTTAAAATTTGTGTCATATCGCGTATTGTGGTTTAAATTTCATAACAAATTAGCAACAAATTTAATCAATCTATCATCACGTGCAAAACGAAATAAAAGAGCGTAGCATACTACCGTATTTATGGTTTTAGGTAGTGATTATCAAAACCGTGTTTGTTTGTTTTTCCTTCAGACAAATACAAGGTAAAGTTATTTTTGTTTTGATATTTACCCACACAGTGATACTATATTTATATATTACTCCCCAGTGGCACGGTGGTATGTCTGCGGACTTACAACGTAAGAAAACTGGTTTTGATACCCATGTTGGGCAGAGTGCAGATAGCCCATTGCGTAGCTTTGTGCTTAGCTTAAAAACAAACAAACTTATATTTATAAATAGGAAAAAAATACAAATTTTAACGGAAAGTAGGGATCGTTGGTTATTCATATAATTACTCTCAGAAGTATCCAAAACAAAATAAATGCTGCAATAGAAAGTCCAGAAACAAGTAAAGTGATACTAGTTGGATAGATTTTAAAATGATTTCAATCCCTACTAAAATCTCTCTAACTAGTAACACTTTACTTGTTCGTGTACTTTTAATTGCAGCATTTATTTTGCTTTGGATACTTCTTATAGCAATTCTACGAATAACCAATGATCTCCACTTTCCGTTAATTTTTTTTTTGTTTTCCTATTTGTTTGTTCAGTTTTTATATGTCCATGGAATGGATAAAACCTCTATAAACTTTCACTATAGCCATATTCCTAATAGCTATAACTTGTACAAGAATTAAAACCACAATCACGAATTTATAAAATGTAATCCTTACTTTGGCCTACAGATGAGTGTATAAAGCTGCCAAAGTACGGATTAAATTTTATAAATTTGTGATTGTGGTTTTAAATCTTTTTTCATTACCTCTTGAAGCAGTATCCCTACTTCATTTTAAAATTCACAATTACTTAATACTCTTGTTTGTTTACTTTTTATATTATTATTATACCTGTACAAGGTATATACTTTACCTTTAGAAGCTGTCGCGTGTCTATCCATCGATATGTAGCGCCATCTGTTGGATTGAATTGGGTTGAAATATATTTAAGTAAGTGCATGATATGTTTACTATTTATAAAACATCTGTATATATTTATCGAATTATCAAAAATGGATACTCATAGACCAGTAAAATAAGCTGGAGAAATCTTGTAGTGATAGTTTGAGTCGTCTAGGGACAACCCCGCTGACGTGATCAGGTAGATAGGTAGTAGATGATAAAGTTGCTGTTTTAGAAATTTTGATTTGTTATACCGGAAATGTTAGCGATCTTTTTAGCATATTATTAGTATATATGCGCATAATATATCGTAACCAATACTTTGAATGGTCGGTTTCTTGCTTAGGAATTCAATAAGGTCGTTTTTCGGCACGTATTTGTAAACCTCGTCGATCCCTACTATTAAGTACTACCATACTTAATAATAGTTTTGAAATATTGCTAAAAGTGCATTCAGATGTAGCATTATTTTTATAAGTAGAAAATGTTATGCGTTGTACTAGTGGATTATAAGGTTTCTTTATTGAAATCTTGGCACAGTCAATTATTATGGTTTTGATTCTAAACAGTGATTTCATATATAAAGAAAATTGATTCATGTTATGATGATATTGCTGAGAATTATTCTTAGTTTTTTAACACAAACTGGAGTTCCTTATTAACAATATCTATTGATATAAACGATCTAAAGATATGGGTAATTATTTTATTTATATTAATATAATGATGCAAAGAATAAAAACTTATTTCAAAGTGTTTTATACAACATCACTTTTATTATAAAAACTTAGACGATCATGAGGTGATGAATATGGATGATAGTTAAGTTTACTTGTTGCAGCACCTGAACACTGCAGTACAAACCCAATGTTAGTGTTTTGAAAACCCGTATTAAACAACAGTTTTTGTTTTTCCTTGAAAATGTTCTATCGAGAACATGTACACTGAATACAAACCCAATGTTCGTGTTTTTAAAACCCTGTATTAAACAACAGTTTCTGTATCTCTTTGAAAATGTTCTATGTAGAACATGTGCACTGAATACAAACCCAGTGTTCGTGTTTTTTAAACCCGTATTAAACAACAGTTTCTATGTCTTTTTGAAAATGTTCTATATAGAACATGTACACTGCAATACAAACACGAAATGTTCGTATTTCCAAAACCTTATAAAAGTTAATAGTTTCTATATCTTCTTGAAACTTTTCTATATTTCAACACAAATACACAATGTTTATGTTTCGAAAGTCTGTATGAAAGTTAATAGTTTCTATGTTTTCTTGAAACTTTTCTGTATAAAACATGAAGTCTACAATACAAACACACAATGTTTGTGTTTTTAAAACCTGTATAAAACTTATATATAAAGCTTTTATATTTCCTTGGAACTTTTCTATAGAAAGCACTTGTTATGATTTTTTAGTATAAATAGCAAACTCTTTATAGAAAGAAGTAAGTTTCTCGTATATTGAAAATGTAAGAGATTTCATCCCCTGTTGGGTTAGTGTAAGCACTATTACAACCTCCAGCTGAACATCGTATACATAACACTACAAGACAAATGCTTGAACACTTCTCCTTGAAGCTGTAAGCATTTGCAGTGCAGTCTATTTCTTTATCCCGTTTAAACACTGAAATAGAGTATTAGATTTAAAATATCTTGAAAATTAATGATGACTAGCACAGGTGGCTGAAGATGAATGAGAGTTCGTGATTGCTAATCTGAGAAGGTAGAACTGAAGATGAAATCAAATTGATGATGAATGAGAATTCTGTGATTGCTAATCTGAGAAAGTAGAACTGAAGATGAAATCAAATTGATGATGAATGAGAATTCTGTGATTGCTAATCTGAGAAAGTAGAACTGAAGATGAAATCAAATTGATGATGAATGAGAATTCTGTGATTGCTAATCTGAGAAAGTAGAACTGAAGATGAAATCAAACTGATGATTCACGAGGGTCTTGTGATTGCTAATCTGAAGCCAGCCATCATCAGAATGAATCTGATGTACATATTCATCCTTTAATCATAAGCTTCCGTTTGTTTCTTTTTTAAAGTCAACTTAGTACGTTACACCCACAATAACATATTTCAGCCCATAAAAGTTGTTTGAACCCAAATTTGTGTTTTTATAATAAAAATGGAATTATGGCTATGAGACTTTTCAAGTTGTGTTTATTACGAAGTATTGTCATTAATATCATCGTAATACCAAAACAGATATAGATACCTAATCAAAGTATTATGAGACGTATCAAATGCACGACGAGTTACTCTCGTCAACAGGGAATAAAACATATTAAACGCTCTTGAATGCGGCCCTCAGAGTATTTATTACATTTAAAAGCTACTGTGAATATAAATGTGTTTTGACGATTGCTCAATCTTGCTAATTATCAAGATGTCTGACTTTAGGTAAAAGTGATTTAATGAATTCAGTGTATTTACTGTTGCCGCACATCCCACTAAAACTCGTAAACTTGAACATTCGTGATATACAGTTCTAATTACAATATACTGACATTATTTTATTTGCAATAACTTATTGAGAGGTTGATTTATTATTATTTCTGTTTTGTATTAAAAATATCATTGTTTGTTGCTAAGCTACACAATAGACTTTCAGTACTCTGCCCACCGCGGGTATCAAAACCCGATCTTAAGCGTTATGAGCTCTGAAGTTTATCGCTGAGCCACCAGAGGGTGCCATTAGAAGGACAGGAAAATTGTTTGTTTGTTTGTTTGTAATTAAGCACAAAGCTACACAAAGGGCTATCTGTGCTCTGCCCACCACGGGTATCGAAACCCGGATTCTAGCGTTGTAAGTCCGCAGACATACCGCTGTGCTACTGGGGGGCGGACAGGAAAATTTGTCAGTATTTTGACTTACCGATCTTCTATGTGTTTCGTATAAGTTTATCATGTTCATCGTATGTTATCAAAACTGTTCAGGTAATAAACTAGTAAAAAACCGCTCAAAGGCCAATATTATATATATATATACTGTGTGTTAAGGTATGCATAACGAGGGACATTTTATAAACTTAAACTGTGTGTGTGTCCCTAGAATATTTCATATTTTACTAATATAAAATCCCGTCAAAAATACTTGGAAACATAAGCCTACCATATTTGAATCTTCCAACATACAGTTGCGATTTTGCTGCTCGTAAACATATATTAGAAAAATCAAGGGCCTTCTAGCTTCGGGAAACCAAGGCTTATCATGAGCATCGATCCTTGTCCCAGCATTCATTGATCACGGTTATCTTCTAATCCCATCAATTGCATTGTTGCAATAGTTCTCTTAAAACCACATTTCTTGTAGACACTCGACCATCGTTCAAAAACTTCTCTTCATAATAAACGGCACATTAATTTCAATTGGTTCTAAAT